AGTTTAACATATACAAAGTGCATTTTAAAGTAAGAAACAAATTAAAGCAACTCCTACTTCCTTACTAAACTCACTGGGTTCAAGTATGGTTATGAAAGTCGGAGGTGTGCTGCAGCAATGGCTTTCATACACAATACATTTAAATATAAATGATTTAAGTCAACATTTATAATTGTGATTGAAATCAGTAAGCAAAAGACCTTGATTTAAATTAGTGATTTTTATGATTAACTAATGTTACAAACTGGCCCTTATTTTCCTAAATACAGATTAAATGCACCACATAAACACCTATCTTTCTTGATCTCAGGATCTTCTACTTGCTTCTGCTTAAATATTAAATATTTCTTAAATATTACAGTATATATCTCAATAATGTGTTAGGTGCATGTATAAGAGAGCAATTAATGGCATTTATGACTCACTTCTATTACATTTTTAGTGTTTCATATTAATCATTGTTTCTCATAAAATAGATAATGTATCACCAATTTCCCCACAAGTAATGAAGATACTTTCAAGTGCTAATGCAAATTTATAAATGTACATTTGACAATGCATCCCCCATCCAGATTGACATGTAAACTATCGAAATGAAGGGAAATTCTTTGATTGATGTCTTGGGTTACCTTGCCTAAGAAGGGCTTGTGTTTTAAGACCTGATTTTGAAAAAGAGAATTTTAAAAAAAATCTAACCTTTAACTTCAGTTATTTTTGTAAACATAACAGACATAGGTATGTTGAAATCAACAGGGATTACGTCCCTAAATTACTTTGCATAACTGGACCTAAGAGTGTAATCTTGTAGCTCTTGCTAGCTCTGATGCAGCAGGAGGCAGTACTGGCACTGCTATATTGCTACAAAATGCTGCAAAATTGTTCCTCAAACTATTCTTGCTAGTCTATATTGAAGCAAAATACAGAAAAACCACTGCTGCTAACATTTGTAGAGGGAAACCCGTTGTACAGTATCAGTAGCTGGTTTTCATTTTGGACTATTTCCCATTAAGTTCACAACTTTGATCACAGCAATTGTAATATGACCCATTTAGGAGATATTTTCTTTTATGAACAAGCTGATGAAAAGGACTTTCTCATCTAATAAATCAGAGTGGATTAAAAATATGAAATCAGATCTGAAAAGACTAACCAACACTGTCACTCAACCTACTAATAATTGGAATATTTATGCAGTAGAAGGCAAATGCTACTTAAGTAAATTGTTTGTTGAAACTCTGCAGTGACTACATAAACAAATAAACCATGTAAGGAGATGGAATGTAAGCCAAACAAGATTATGAATGTCTGAATTTACACTAGAAACTAAACGGTCAGATCCCACAAAGATTGGTCTCCCAGACATGTTGTAGCTGAAATGAGAATTGGTCTTACTAGTCACCTGAAAGGACTTTGGGTGCCTCAATTTAAGACATAGGCAGACAAGGCTCTTTGGGTAAACGTAATATCTTTTATTAGACCAACTAAAAAAAAATGTTCTTTGCAAGCTTTTAGGCACAAACACGCTTCTTCAGGCACAGGGTGTCTGCTGGTGTTTTGTGTTCTCCTGGATGGAATAAAAGCCAATATTAAAATGCAGGTCTGTGAAAATGCAAGTGCATGTCAGTGAGAATCAGAGGCCATGGGAGACGATAGGTGTGCGACAGGTGCAGAGGAAAGAGGGAATGCTGACCTGGTGATAGAAGGTAGCTGGTCAAATGTAGAGAGGTTACCTGGGGTTAAGTTCAAGACAGTGATTCAAAAACAAACAAACAAAAACAACCTGGACAGATATTGTTTAAATTTAGAAAGCACCTAAACTTGCTAGGCGCCTAGCGCCCACCTAAACCTGATCTGAATCCAGAAGGTAAGTGGCCCAGCCTCTACGTCCCTTGGGAGACCTGATCTGGTAAGTATGCTCAGAACATGCCTATCACACAGTATTGGGTTCTGGCCAAAACACAGCAGTCCTGGCCAGTCTGGCTAGCAACAAAAGTTACACATAGACCATTTTAAGCGATTAGAAACTGGTTAAAACCTGTAACAGAGCAGAAGGTCAGTGCACATAAACCAGTTTCAAAAATGGCCAAAACCAGTTTGAGATAAACCTGGTTGAATGTAGCATCAGACTTAACTGATTTGGGTCAAATCGGTTTATGGAACTTCTGTCCCAGACCCCTTCCTAGTTTCAGTTAAATTAGAATCCCCCAGCATCCCAGCATGCTCTGCAGCCCTGGGTGGGGCTGTGCTCTCTGCTCCAGGGGAGGGGGGCTAGGCCTGCCCCACTGCTCCCTAGCTGGAGCACAGGGGGCCCCTAAGGTGAAAGGGGCAGGGAAGACGTTTATTGCCCGCTCCCTCCCCTGTCCCACCATCACAGACCTCAGCCAGGGTCCCTGCCAGGCATTCCTCCACTTGCTGCTCCAGTGCAGGGCTGTGGCCAGTCCCGGCAGCAGCCTCAAGTCAACTGGCCAGAAGGGGTTACTTTTCCCCTCCCTGTCCCACCGGCATGAACCTGAGCCAGGGTCTGCCTGGTGCTCCCCCCTCACCGCTGCAGAAGGGGTGGGGGCATGGCCAGAGGCCAGCCAGCGTGGCCCCCTGAGGCAAAGGGGGCAGGGAGGGGGTTTATTCCCCCCTCTGCTCCTGGGGCACCACAGCCAGGGTCTGCCAGCCCTGATGGCTGCCTCCGCCATTTGCTCCCTGAGTGGGGTAAGGGGTGGAATAAGCTCCTTCCCAGGTGCCGGGGGCGGGGAACCCCCTCTCTGCCTCCTTCACCTAAGGGGGCCATGCCAGCTGTCCTCTGGCCATGCCTCCATGCCCACCCCTGCTCCTCGAGTGGCGAATGAACCTCCTGGGGCAGCAGCCCGTCATGGTTACCCAGGAGTGCAAGCCTCTTTCTGGTGGGGGGGCTGCACTGCAGGTGGGAGCAGGGTGGGCAGAGCTGCTGCAGACTGCACAGGGCAAGCAGCAGCACTGGGGCTCAGAGTGGTGGCCATAGCCCCCCCAAGAGTCATTGCCACTTGCCCTGTGGCCTGTGGTAGCTCTGCCCGCCCTACTCCTGCCCACAGTGCAGTCTCCCTGCTGGAAAGAGGCTTGCACTCCTAGGAAACAACGACAGGGAATGCTGATCCATGAGGGTCACTCCCCACTCGCCACTCCAGTGGCAGGGGTGGGGGCATGGCCAGAGGCCGGCCAGCACGGCTACCTTGGGTGAAGGAGGCAGGGAGGGAATTATTTTCCCCCTTCCTCCAGTGTCTGGCAAAGGGGGTAGGGAAGGAGCTTATTTTGCCGCCCACCCTGCCCAGGAAGTGATCAACTAAGGCGGCGGTTGGGGCTGGCAGACTGGCTACAGTCCCGACGAGACTGAAGGGGAAAAAAACTCCCATTGCCTCAGGGGGCCATGTCCCCGGCCCTACAGCAGTGAGGGGGGAGCACCAGGTGGTCCCTGGCTCGGGTCCATGCCAGTGGGACAGGGAGAGGGGGGAATTAAACCCCCTGCCTGGCCAGTTCACTTGAGGTTACTGCCAGGGCTGGCCATGCCCTCCCCCACCCCCAGCACAGCTTCCGTGCAGCCAAGGCCATGCTCTAGCACCCTCTGGCTTCTGGCCTGACCCACTGCAGGCATGTGACTGCATTTTCACTTAGCTCGGGGATGTCTGGTCACTTACAAATTAGTTCAATGTAGGCAGGTTAGACAAACCTGCAAAGGTTGAATCAATTCGGGCTCTGGCTTTTTGAATGTCTGTCCCTAGCCTCTCACTCAAAAGCATAAGAGGAGAGAATGGTGACGGTGCCTACCTTTTATGTAACAATTTACACCACCCAGGAAGTGGGAGAATTTAAACCCTCATTTTCCACCTTCCAGGAGAGTTCCCTAACCAGTAGGACATATGCTAGGCTGGGTATAGATACCTACCATCCTCACCATCTAATGCGGATGTGTCCATTCATTTGGCTCCTTAGGCTAGATCTGGACAATAGTGCTTCTTGTGAGCCAGATGATCTATTTTCAGTGCCAGGACAACAGCTTACCTGCACATCTCTGGAACCCAGGAGGTGAATGCTTCTGCCTTCCCCCCCTTTTTCCCTTATTACTGATTTTAGTTGCCAATGATGACCAAAGACCCCAGATTCAGCGGCTGGCTAAGGGGTGAGGTGAGCAGTGGTGGCATTCACCCCCTGGGTTCAGAAGCCGTGCCAGTCACCCCTACAGACTACAATTTAGCCCCTTGCAGGTACATAC